ATAGTTCAGTTTTTACATTACGGTTTTTAAGCCATCTGGACTTTATTTTGGTTTATGTTGTAAGGTAGAACTCTTTTGTTATTTTTCTAAGTGGTTTATAACTTAGCATCATTTAATATTTCCTTGTGATTTGGTCGGTATGAGTAAGGTACAGAAAACAGTTACTTAAGTTCTTTAATACTAAAATGTCCGTTAAATTGCTGCTTTCCTAGAGTAAAAGAACAATAGCGTCAGTAACACATAGTGCTCCTCCTGTTCACATAGTGTAGTCCTTGTTAGCAATACTGAAAAGAACTGTGCTGTTTATTATTAAACTGGTTATGAAGTGTGGCGAAGGATGTGGGTAAAGGGTATAAGCCAAGGAGGCTGAGGGAAACAACCCAGAGCTAAGCTTCACCTTCAGGCTGAAGAATCCACCTTTCAACATTAAGTCTAAATAGACTTGTACTTTGAGTTCATACTGAAAAAGTCTTAAGTTCTTTAAAACCTTTGCTTTCCTTTTACATTAGACTCTCTAATCATTAGAATAGGTACAGTATTTGTCATTCTAAACTGAAAGTGTATATATATTTTTTTCTTTAGGACTTTTTGGAAAATTCTGGTTATTTGTTTATATTTAAATACTGAAGTATCTGTCTCCATATCCATAGTATAATTTGCTGCAAATCTTACTGAAAAATCAAACGTGTCCCAATTGTAGAACCAAGAATAAATACAAAAAGTAATTTTTAACTATTATTATGGTGATGACTAATGTTTTGTTGGTCTGTAAGACTATCTTAAATATCATACTGTTTTGTTTTAATTACCCCTTAAGAACAATGAAAATCAGATTTGATGACTTCTTTGTGTATACAATAGAAGTATGTCATTTTTATTTATTATAGTTTTATACTGTATAATCCGGGTGTTGTAATATTCAACCAAAGACCATTTCATTTATTTTTCTCGCACATACTTATAGCCTGATGAATCATGATCTTAGCCTTGATTATAAGGTTATACTTACAACTGATGATAATTATGGGCCAAACCGTATTTGTTCTTAGTGTAAAGGAAGGAGGAGTAAGGAAGGCATCAAGGATGGTTTGTGAATATTGGCTTATAGAATAATTTCAACTTAGATATTAGAATGGGAGGATCTTCTGATTTTTAAACTTGTTTTTCAAAAATTTAGTTGTTTGAAAGACGTTAGGTTGATCATCCTGATATTGAAATACTGTGCTATAATTTGATTAAGAATCATTGCTAAAGCTTACTTTCTCATCTTGTCCTGATAGAGTGGTATACTACTTATTTTTAAATTCTACTCTATAGGAAATTCAGAACAGCTTGACTTCTTAACATTTTCACTTTTGCTCACTTTATTAATTTTTAGGGCAAAAGTTAATATGCATAGATTAACTAATGTCGAACTTTATTTCTGTTTACAAACAGACATATCTAAGTCTTCTTTAGATATTCTCTAAACCTAAGTAGGAATTGCTCCTGCAATAATGTTTTATTAGCAATATTCAGGCAAACTTATAATATTCACTTGGATTACTAAGGTAAGCTTAGGAATTTCATCAATAAAGCATTAAATAGCAACTGAACTACTTCCAATCTAGAAAAGAAAGCTGCTGTTTTTAGGGATTCTTTTGAATTGAATTGTTAATTTTTTCCCCCTGTGAATGTATACATATCCTCAGTGTGTATACATATTCAACAGGTGTGTGTGTGTGTGTGTGTGGTAAAAATACATAGCATAAAATTAACCATTTGTAAGTGTACAGTTTTGTGGCATTAAGTACATTCACAGTGTTGTGCATTAACTGCTGTCTATCTCCCGAATTTTTTCATCTTCTTTAACTGAATCTCTGTACCTACTAAACACTAACTCCCCATTCCCCTCCATCCAGCCCCTGGTAGTTACTTTATGTTTTTATGTATTTGACTATGCTAAGAACTTCATACAAGTGGAATCATAAAATATTTGTCATTTTGTAACTGGCTTATTTCATTTAGGCTTCAGGGTTCTTCCATGTTATAGCATGTGTTAAAATTTCTTTCTTTTTAAGGCTGAATAATATTCCATTGTGAGCATACTTTGTTTGTACATTTGTCTGCCCATAGACAACTGGGCTGCTGCTTCTTTTTGGTTATTGTGAATAATGCTGCTATGAACATGGATGTACAAATATGTCTTTTGAGTCCCTGCTTTAGGTTTGCGTGTGTATGTGCATGTGTATCTGTGTATGCAGAAGTGGAATTGCTGAATCATATGGTAATTCTATATTGTTATTCTATTTTTAATTTGGGGGGGAACTGGGCTGTTTTCCACAGAGGCTGCACCATTTTTCAACCAGCAATTTTTCCACATCCTTGCTAATACTTATTTTCTTATCTTAGCAAGTTTGAAGTGGTATCTTATTTTGGTTTTGATTAGCATTTCCCTAGTGATTAGTGATGTTGAGCATCTTTTTACATGCTTATTGGCCATTTATTATCTTCTTTGGAGAAATGTCCATTCTAGTCCTTTGCCCATTTTTTAATTAAGCCTTTTGTTATTTTTGGTGGAGGAGTTCTTTATATATTTTAGGTATCAGTCCCTTGTTAAATGTATGATTTGCAGATATTTTCTCCCTTTCCAGAGGTTGCCTTTCATTCTGGTAGCATTTTTTGACGCACAAAGTTTTTAATTTTGATGAAATACAGTATATCTGTTTTTTCTTTGATTGCCTGTGCTTTTGGTGCCATCCAAGAAATCATTGCCAAGTCCAGTGTCATGAAGCTGCCCCCCTATATTTTCTTCTAAGATTTTTATAGGTTATAGCACTTACCTTTAGGTTTTTGATTCATTCTGAGTTAATCTTTGTATTTATTGTAAGGTAAGGGTTCAAGTTCATTTTTTTTTTCTTTTGTAGTGGATATCTAGTTTTTCCAACACTCTGTTCAAAAGACTGTCCTTTTCCCCATTGAATATTCTTAGCGTTCTTGTTGAAAATCATTTGACCGTGTATGTGAGGGTTTATTTCTGGGCTTTTTGTTCTGTTGATCTCTCTATATATGTCTGTCTTTATGCCAGTAGCACACTGTTTTTTTTTTTTTTCCTTTTTGTCTTTTTTCGTGTCCGGCAATGGATCGCAACCCTCAGTGTTGCGCCCGTACCAGACCGGGACCGGCAACGGGATCGCAACCCTCGGTGCTGCGCCCGCACCTCGCTCAGCCAGTGAGTGGGATCTGGTCTGTATGTGGGACCCGAACCCTCGGCGGGAGCGCCGCTGCGCTCCCAAGCGGCGCACTGTAGCAGTGCGCCACCGGGCCAGCCCTAGCACTCTGTTTTGATTACCATAGCTTTATAATAAATTTGGAAACATGTGAGCCTCCACCTTTGTTCTTCTTTCTCAAGATTGTTTTGGCTATTTGAGGTTAAACTTTTTTTTTTTTTTAATGAAGTATGCTTTGTACAATGAGTCATATATTAGAAAACATTTCAAATTTGAGTCATACTTCTGAGTAAGCATTTAATATGTATACATTAAATGTTTCTTTGTCATCTTTTTTTTTTGTCTTTTTTACTGACCGGTAACGGGATCGCAACCCTCGGTGTCGCGCCCGTACCGGGGACTGGCAACGGGATCGCAACCCTTGATGTTGCACCCGCACCGCGCTCAGCCAGTGAGCGGGAACCGGTCTCCACATGGGATCCGAACCCTCGGCGGGAGCGCCGCCGCGCTCCCAAGCGGTGCACTCTCCAGTGCGCCACCTGGCCTGCCCTCTTTGTCATCATTTTAAAAGCACTACAGCATTTCATTTTAAAAGCAACAAAATTGGCTGGCCTGTTGGCTCAGTTGGTTAGAGCGCAGTGCTGATAAACCAAAGTCAGGGATTTGGATCCCCATACTGGCCAGCTGCCCCCCCCCCCCAAAAAAAAAGCAACAATTTTTTTTTTCACAGTCAATTTGTTTATTTCATGATACTTACATAGGCTAATTTGAAAAATTAGCTTCCTTTCAAATGTATAGAACTTGAGAAGTTGTCATTACATTTTCTTTAGCCATGTACCCAAGATTAAATTTTCTGGTGGTATGTTATGCATTAAATGTTAGCCTTCCTATGGTCTCATTGTGCTGTGTGACATTTAAGAAAAAATGTGTTTGATATTCTGAATATCTGGAAAGAGAAATGTAAAGAATTTTATGGTTTTCTCACTGTGAAAAACAAAGCAGACCCAAACGCCCTTTGAGCCTAGATATTTTTCACAAACTTGGAAGTCATTTGGGTAACATCTAAGAGCCTTTGTTATTTGCATTAATGGACCAAACATTTATTCAGCATATATTTAATGAATGTCTACTAGATGCCAGGCATTTTGCTAACCCCAGGAATACAGATGTAAATGTGCCATGTTTGGGCCCTCAAATCAGTCCCATTTTAGTTGGGAAACACAAGAAAGCAAATAATTATAAATGCAGCATAAATGCAAAAATAGAGATAGGTGCTCTGGCCAGCTGAAAGCATAATATAATTTATGGAAATGTGGAGAGGTGTCTCCATGGAAGCTTGCTAACTGACCACAGAGCAATTTAGAGTAATGAGTTGGAATACTGCAGACAAAGATGTCATCTTGTCATTGTCCTAGAGTTGAATATATTCTTTTTTTTTTTTTTTTTTTTTTTTTTTTTTTTTCCGTGTCCGGCAACGGATCGCAACCCTCAGTGTTGCCCCCGTACCAGACCGGGGACCGGCAACGGGATCGCAAGCCTCGGTGTTGTTGCTCCCGCGCCTTGCTCAGCCAGTGAGCGGGAGCCGGTCTGTATGTGGGATCCGAACCCTCGGGCGGGAGCGCCGCCGCGCTTCCCAAGCGGCGCACTATCCAGTGCGCCACTGGGCCGGCCGAGTTGAATATATTCTTACCCTAACTTAGAACTTGCAATATATCTGTCACAAAGATTTTTCCTTTTACGATTATAATTTATTAATTTATTTAAAATTTATTAATTTATTAAAACTCTTAGTTCCAGGGTCCCCCATGGTGGGTTTGCTAATATCATGGGTGGAAGTGGATTGCAAAACTTTACAATAGCTGCTGTGCCATATACTACAAATCTTTTACCGACTTCAAGCACATGGTATGTTATGTTTGTTTATTTAAATGCATTGCAAATTGTTTTGATTAATTCTGAAGGATCAAAGGTCTAACTACTGTATTCATTACTGCATTGATAGGAAAAAACCTCAACTATGACCTTTATTCAGAATTTTGGAATCATGGATAAATAAGTAGTTACATAGTTCCTTTTCTTGCTGTCCTTTTTTGGTAGGAAAAATGTTTGGGGAAAACCTAACTACCTGTAATTTAATTGAATGTAGTTCAGTAGTTCAGTTATCACTCAAGTTAAACTGTCATAAGTATCAGTGAGTTACGCTATCACTTCAAACTCAGTTGCCCTGTTGCTTTTTTAAGCTGAGAGGAACTTTTCTTTCATTACATTTGCATGCTGAAAGAAACTGCAATGCAGCAGTTTTTTTCTTCTTTTTGAATACTACTTCAAGGTTTTCCAATTTGAATGCAAATTTGAGAGGGAGGTTTTATGTTAATTATGAGTATTTTTTTGTTGGTTTGTTTTTAACTGCTAGACAAAATAATCAGACATTTCTTATTTTTCTTTTACAGCATCAACATGCTCAAGTTACCTGAATACCCAAGTAAAGAAATACTCAAGGACAGACTTCTTGTGGCACTACATTGTGGCAGCTATGGTTACACAATGGCATAAAGAAGTCTGGAAAACTCATCTGACTGCTGATGCACAACTCAGAGAGGCAGAAATAATTTAGGAAACTGTCAAAAGAAAAGCAGCTTAAGTGCAACCTGTGGGCAGAGCTGATTTTTAAAATTCGTAAAAGATCAGGTTTTTCTCTTTTTCTCTTTTCCCTTTTATGTTTTCTTTGTGATTCAGTTAGAAAGCATAAAATCACAGTAGACTTTATTTTTAAAAATGCTAATTGAAAGTGGTAGAAATTATCCTTTTTCATATTTCTTTAATCTTATCTAAGATTGTGTTAAGGCAAAGTCTTATTCTACATTTCACCTCTGCTATGGATCTTTCTTGTTAAAAGGGTGTTTTCTCTTCATTTTTCTATATATTAAATTATATGAGCAAGGTCAAGGGTTCAGATCCCCTTACTGGCCAGCTGCTTTAAAAAAAAAAAAAATTATATGAGGACATCCATCTGGTATGTTCTGTTGCATGTGAAGTGCCATTTATATTTTGGAAAACTTGTATAGAATGGAGTAATTTAGATTGTATATAAAGTCACAAATATGTATTTTCCCACATTGTATCTATATTGCAATTATTTTTTTTTTTAGCTTTTTAAGTATTTTAGTATATAATGTAAAAGTTAGACTAACAAACAGCTGATGAAATGACATCTGATTTATATATTAAAGTTTACACTATATTGTATGAATTATTTGCATCTTTCAGTGGTCACTTTTCCATATGTACATATTGTGGTCTCAAAGTTTTTCTTATGCATTATTTTAACTTACAAAGAAGGTAAAATTAAAGCATTATATTTTACCATATTTCTTTTTATCTGTGAACTCTGATGACACACTTGAAGAAGTAATTCAGTGTGTAGATTACAATTTAAATATGTCATTTTTTATTTCTTAAATTTGCTTTTGGGGATTGAAATGATAAGTTACAGTGATATATGCCTAATACAGCAAAACATTGTCTTCTTTAATTTTTGAGTGCTTCAATCAGTTTTTTTTTTTTAAGACAGTAGTTACAGTAAACGTTTGAAGGGGAAGTAGGAACACTCACACATTTAGAAATAGTAACAGAGGGATTTGTAATGTTTGGGACCTTTCCTCTGGAAGTTAAAAATAGGATATCCAAAGGTGTTATTGTTGATTTAATGACATATGCAGATCTACTCATGTGAGCAGTTAGTATATTTGTCAGCGATATTTAATCAAGAGCCATATACATTGAAAGCTTTGCTAGGTCTTCTTTTGTTACTGTTTTTTTTAATATTAAGAAAATATCTCTTAACAGATTACATGAAAAATTAGGAATTCTTTAAAAATACTGTTAGCTCTAAAATTAAGAATCAATTGTTTTATTTATAATAACTGAAACTGGGCCGGCCCAGTGGCGCACTGCTACAGTGCGCCGCTTGGGAGCATGGTGGCGCTCCCGCCGAGGGTTCGGATCCCACATACAGACCTGTTCCCGCTCACTGGCTGAGCGAGGTGCGGGTGCAGCACCGAGGTTTGCGATCCCGTTGCCGGTCCCGGTCCGATACGGGTGCGACACTGAGGGTTGCGATCCGTTGCCGGACACGAAAAAAGACAAAAAGGAAAAAAAATATATATATAATAACTGAAACTAATAATGTTTTAAATTTTGATTTTTTTTTTGAAATTTACTTGTACAAGAGATCATTGCCTTCTGAGTTTTCTAATAGGTAATCAGCTTTTTTTTTTTTTTTTTCCTTTTTGTCTTTTTTTACTGACCGGTAATGGGATTGCACCCCTCGGTGTTGTGCCCGCACCGCGCTCAGCCAGTGAGCGGGAACCAGTCTCCACATGGGATCCGAACCCTCGGTGGGAGCGCCGCCGCGCTCCCAAGCGGCGCACTCTCCAGTGCACCACCAGGCCGGCCTGGTAATCAGCTTTTTAAATATTATATTGCTTGTAATTTTAATGTTTACAGACATCTATTTCTCTTTATAATCACATAATACATTGGGTTTATCAGATTGGTCCTTTTGCAAGTGTTTATGTAGAAGAGATAATAAAATATTAAATATCTCATGGTATTTTAACCACGAATTTCAGTATTTGGAAATGCAATTTCAGGATTTATTCTTTCATATTGTCTTTAGTTTTGTAACTATAAGATTATAGTTAAGATAAAAAGGATTAAAGTAGAGGCAGCAAATCTTTTTCATTTACTCCATTCCCACAATTTCTTCTGTAAGCAGATGGATATATTGAATGCAAGATAGTGTAGAAAAATGATTAGAAAGATTTTCTTCCCCTTTAGGTAAAGAAGATTATACTAATAGGAAAATGACTCAAATTTTAAAACACATGGTGGTAGCATATAAGGAAGAAAACAGAAATACAGCACCCTAACAGAATAAAAATATAAGGCAAGGAAGCATATTGTAGGAAACTGATTAATAAAAATATCTGAGCAAGAGTAGATTAAGTTATCCAAATAGTTTGAGGGAATTGCAACCACATAATAAATAATAAAATCCATCCAAAACTTAACATAGTTAAGTTAATCCAAAACCAAAATGTAATATAAAGAAATGTCAGTTCTGAAACAAGCTGCTGAACGCAGCCCCTTTCGTTTTGACAGTCTGTTGGGTATAGGGGGAAATGCAAGCTTTAAACTAGAGTTTACAAGTTGGAAGCCCAAGAGATGATTCCTATTCACGCATGTATGTTTTGTTTGTCATGCCATTCTAATACTTTGAATGAGTTATCATCATTCAAAAAGTCTGGAGATTTCATGTAGAACGATTTTTGGCTTATTTTGAAAAATAAGACAATCTGACAACATTGGGTGCATATTTACAAAGCATTATTAGTACACTGAAATTGAGGAGAAGCTGCTGCTTTGAATGACCGAGTGTGCTCTTCAGTTTGACATTTTGTTACCCCAGCCTGCTTCACTAATTTATGTTACCTTCCTGGCCTATGAAAGCACTGGAGCTAGCTTTAAAGAATATGTTGATTGGAAACCGGCACGAATTCTTTGGACGGCTGTTTGGCAGTATCAGATTTTTTAAACATACACACAGTCTTTGGCCCGACAATTCTAAGACTTTATCTTACAGGTATACTTGTTCATGTACGTAAAGATACTGTATTTTTACAAGAATTTCACTGAAGCCTTGTTTGTGATAGAGAAAACCTGGGAATAAATTTCCACGACTATCAGGAGGCTGTCTAATACTGTGTTACATCCGTAGAATAGAATATTAATTAGTATTTATGAAGAATGAAATAATGCATACTGATATGTAAATGTTTCTAAGGTTTGTTAAGTGAAATAATTAAGGTGTATAGAAGAGCGATTAGTGTGACACACTATATATATGGGATTGTGTGCAAGAAACATTTTTGGGGAGATGGACAAGAGACTATCGCTATATCTGGATAAGAGTTGTGAGGTGGGATGGACTTTTTCACCACATAACCTTTTTTCCCCCCATTTCTCTAAATCATACCTGTGTGTTCTATAACACACCTGCATTATCTTTAATCCAGGGAAGAAGTGTCAGTAATTGGTTTTGTTGAATCTATAAAAAGTCATAGCAGTAGTGATAAGCAATATTTTTGTAATCACAAACCTTATAACTTTATAAGTTTAATTAATGTGGTTAATTTAAAATAAGTGTCCCAATTAAACTTTTTGTAAAGTCAAAAAAAGGAATGCTCCCTTGCCCACAAAGCCCTATTTCCACACATTGACTGATAATTAGCACTGTTTTTAGCTTTCTCAAATTCTGCCAATTAGAGATGTATTTGAATTAACTTTTTCCCCTAATTTTTCTTTTCTTAATAATAAAAATGGTACTTAATTTTATGGGAAAATCTGGAAAACAGATTAGCATACTAACTGGAAAAAGTGATAAATTATCATTCCACTACCCAACAATTGTATTATATTTTCTTCTAATCTTTCTCAATACATTTTTTACATGGTTGAGTTCATATGGAACATTGCACTTAGTATGTATCTTTATTTACTTAGCAATTTATTTTAAACATTTCTCATGATATTAAAACTTATTTGTAAACATTTTTTGGAATGGTGGCATAATCTTATTATATGGGTGTATTGTAATTTACTTGACCATGTCTCTAAAATTAATATTTAGATTTCTAATATTTTTGCTTTTATAAATGACAGGTAGATGCTATAAAAACTGCTTACAGTCTAGGAATGGTAATGTTATGCGAGTTATTTGTTGAAATGTCCATCAACTGCTCCATTGTCACGGAATTATTATTTGAAGGCTCAAAAGAGGGCTGCTGGAACATAGAACCCTTTGGTATATGGGACCAGGTAGGATTGCTACAGCAACACAGTAAGGGATGGGTACCCTACCAGGGTATAAAAGGGTTAAAATTGGAGGTAGAAGTGTGTTACGGAAGTAAATTATTTTAATGATTGCTAACTTCCAGTTTTCTAACCAAGAACAGGGGAAGAAACTCATCTTCTATATGACACAAGCCCCATTCACAGGACCAGAGCTTGACCATTCGCTATTATTATTGTATAGTTCAGCTATGTCAAGGGTCACTTATGCTCTTGTAAGCTAAACTAGAAACCTAGCCTCCATTTATAATGTTTCCAAAAAATGGACTTCTAACTGTTGTGCAACTCTTTTGTAATTGGAGAGTGTAAACAGCTGTCTTTATCAGAATGTTTTTAGCTAATATTAAATATTTTGTTATTTTCACCACAATTTAAAGCATATCAGTGTGTATCAATAATCAAGATTTTTTTTCTGTGAAGCATCCTCCTCTGTCCCTATGCACTTTCATAGTGGTTAGGCCACAAAATTCACTTTTGAGGTTAGCAGTAGTATCAGAAATTCCAATATTATGGTTTGGTTTAAGCTATTTTAATGTGGGTAGATTTCTATTAGTATATCCTTTGTAAAATTCTTAGGTTCTGGGTTATTGTTACCTGCCTACTAGTCTGGTGCAAATTGGCACACTTATTTATTTAATTTATAATCAGACCCTTTACAGATTAGAGAAGGAGACTGGAGAGGTGGTGACATTCAAGGTTTCAGGGCTACATGTCAACCTGTAACTAGAATTCAAAACCTAGATTTTCTGATTCTTAGCCCACTAAGTTTTCTGTTACACCATGCTGTCTCTTTATGACATAATTGCATTATAAAAGACTTTTAGAAAAACACCTGCAGCCTATTAATAGTCATGTACGACAAGCCAGTTGAGAAACTATAACTTAATAAGCTGATAGTTAAGAGTGATTAATAAAACTATATTTCTTCTCTCCCACTGTGCCACAACAAGCTAGGATGGGTATTTTATCATCTCAAAATGAAGAACAGATGTATTGTCAGATCATAGATCGTGGGTAGTCATTAACTTTTATTATCTTTATAAAAATGTTCAATATATCCAGCATACTAGGTGCTTCAAAATACGTTTTGTATGTAATGTTACAAAACTGTTAAAACTATAAACAATCTAATGACCATTCCTGTATACTTGCATGAGTGAATTGAGTCTAGTTGACTGAAATGCAGGGAAAGCAGTCCTACATGGGTGCTGGATATACAGTTAATGGAGAAAACTTTTCAAAGCAATTCGACAATTTAATGCCTTCTGTGTATTCAATACTGGCTTAGGGAGTGTGACCCAATCCCTACCCTTAAAGGAAAAAAAAATCGGGCAAATGAAAGGTATATTTGAAACAATTTTTAAAACCATGCAGGTTGGCATATGATTAAGTGTAAAAATCAGCTGTAGAAATGTATTAGTGCAGGGGAAGAAGGGTTCAATGTAAACTCAGTGTA